GAATCTTTTCCTTCCTTCTTCTCATTTAATATAAAAGCTACTTCATATAAAGATCATATTAATACTAACTGCTCCTATTTAATTCCTATGTTTTAAAAAGCAGGCACTCACTGGGATATATCCACTTGTTGGCTAGTATAGATTAAGTTTTATGAAATAACCTATAATCCTGAGGGATGATTCATCCTGCCGTTCCAGGATATGGAATCCTGTGTGGTTCCATGACTTTATCCTGTCTGCTCCTCACTGGGTGCTATGTGAGGTGCCAGGATAAAAGGATGAGCAAATTACAAACATGAAGGCATCAGCTTTGTATACTGAATCTGCAAGTGGGAAAGAAAGACAGGGTAAGAAGAGTACCTACCCAGTGATTCATACTGTGATGCACATAGATATCCAGGGAATAGAGGACAGAACCAGAGGGCAATCAAGTCTTGCTTTTCTGTGCAGGCTTTTCATAGATGTAACTAGAAGTTCACCTCAAAGAATAGATAAGAATTGGTAAAGATATAGACTTGTGTATAGGTTGGGATGGGTGAGGAGGCCATTCTAGCAAAAGCATTTTATCAGCAGTTAAATGCAGGATGGGAAAATTTGGAACAAGGACTCGAGACTCCACAGTAGGGAGTCTGCCCTTCATCTTAAAGGAGGGAGGTGCTGGTGGTCACTAGTGGCTTTTAGGCAGGAGAAGAGGAAGAACTTGTGCATTAGCAGGATCACACTCTAAGCAATGTCGTCTGGGCAACTAACTGGTTTGGTTGGTTAGTGGATGCCACTCATAGCATTCTCTGTAGAGTACAGTTGTTAGTGTCAAATACGGGAATAGTAGATGAGAAGACAGATGACTGTAAGCTCAGCTGTCTACCTGGTCAGCTGGACAATCTAACTGCAAACAGCTGGACAGATGGGTCTGAAACTCAGGAGAGAAGTCGGGGGTGAAGCCGTGTAAACTCTTTCCCTTTTGCATATTCACTGAAATGTGGTTCCCAAATTAGTGTATAGAGTATTTAGAAAACATCTAGACTCTCCTTCATCTGTGAATGCTCCTGACAACTCTCCCACCTATTCAGAGCCATGAAAAACAGAACCTAGAGTAGACAGTTGAGACCCAGATGGGAGCAAAACTCCCAAGGAGACCCTCGGAGATTTTGTGATTGGTTATTTTCAGACTGTATGTGGGGTGGGGAGGGGTGTCATCAGAAGACAGGAAGACAAAGAAAGGAAGTGATCATGTTTCCTAGCTGACTTCTCTGTTCACACTTCCTTCTTTAATGGTCTCTTGTTCTGTGGAGCAAAAAAAAAAAGCAGCTAACTTCCACAGCAGAAACCACATCCTAGTAACATGTTAGCAATTCTTCAATCTTCTTCTTTCCCTTCTGGTTCACTCCCTCATCTGTAGTCTAAAATTGGCACTATGCACAGTCCAATTGAGTAATTTGTCTGTGTTTTATTATGGTCCTCTCTTGCTCTGCAACATGAAATGGCTCCCTGTTACCTCTAAGATCAAGGCTGAAATCTCCATCTTCCACCAAAATCTGGGCCCTGAAGTCTGGCTTCCTGATTTGGTGAAACAGTTAGTATCCTTTGTGGTTCATTTCAGCCCATGCTTTGTAATGATAGCACTCACATTCCAGGAAGGGCTAACCTGTCCAACAGAATCTATGATGATGGAAAAATATTCTCTTTCTCTGATGTCTGATACTGTAGCCATGCATTACTCAGGGCTCTAAAGCACTTGCAATATGGCTAGTGACTTAAGAAATGAGTTTTAATTTAGTTTATTTTAATCCCTTTGACTTTACACCGCCACTTATGGTGCATGGTACAGCTGGCTAGGGGCTTATTCTTTCTTTCTCTACATTGTCTTTATGGATAGATTTCTGGTTCCATCAAGGTCCACATGTCTCACTTGCTCCAAAAATGTTCTGCAAATGTTAAGCAATTGTATTCTCACTTCGGTCTGCTTGTTCACCTGCAGCTTCCTCTGCAGCCCAAACCTGGTTTTGACCTTCCAGAAAGGCTAAGAGCTTGCACTATGCAGTCAAGCATTGGCTTAGCCTTATTATTTCAGCATGAGAAACATTTCCATGAACAGTAACAGATCTTTTCATTTAGTTCAAGGGGAATAAGGTTCACACACAGAGAAGAGAGGGTGCTCAAAGCAAAGAGACTTGGAGATGAAAGTGAGTGAACACCAAGGCCCATCATCTTTCTTATCATTAGCCCTGGCCAGTGAGCAATGTTGATGGTCAAGAATGGAGCTGTGCTTCATATGGAACAGAAAGTAAAAAGATAGTAAAATGTTGACTGCTTCTCTGTTTTCTAAAAGTCTCACATGTGAAACACACCTTTCCTTTTTTAAATTTATTTTTGTTGTAAAGGTGATGTGCAGAGGGATTACATTTAGATAGGTCAGGTAATAAGTACATTTCTTTTTTAACTGTGTGTAACTAACCTCTTTCTAGTATGTGTAAAAATCTTTTCAGGATATTTTTTCTGACCTGGAGAGATCTAGAGCTGTATCCAGTCCTTCAAATTTCCTTCTACTTATTCTCTTCCTGACCAAACCCTTCTGTTGTTCTTTTGGGTCGCTTGTACAGTCTTTGAGTAAGGAATCAACTCCACCGAGCATCCTTGAAAACAGCAGATAGCCCAGGAGCAATATCTAAAATAAAATTCTTATTGAGGTTCCAGGGCACACAGATACCAAGTGAACCCTTCCTATCTGCATGTTGTAAAGTTGTCATCAAAATATGCAACCATTTTTCACTATAATCAAATAAATGAACTCTTGTGGTGATAGTCATCCAATGAGAGGGTGATATTTGGCAACCTATCTAGTTCCCTGGTGAGAATTGAGGACTGCAAACTGGAAGCCAGGAATAAGAGTATACGGAAGGAACACAGTTACCTTGTGAGGGTCCAAGGAGCCCTTTAAAGATAGATTACCAAGTTCTTTACAGACAGCATTGGTACTCAAGGGAGGGTTATTACCTAGGATGAAAACTCTGGACCCAACTGGAATCAGTGGAAGAAAGATTATCATTCCATATACATGTACAACATTTAAACGTAAGACACGAATGGGAATAAAAGTGTGAACATAGGCCTGAGGGAGATAAAAAGACAGAAATAAGTACATTGTACTATTTGCAGTTATTATTTTATCCCCCTTCGGTTTATTCCCTTTTGTCACTGTTTTTGATTTTTGTACCCTTTGTCACACATATAAGTTTATCTGATTTGGGGAAGGGAAGCACAGAAACATTAGGACAGAGGGTAGATCAATTCAGCAGTGATACTCACTAGACACTATATTGGAAATGGCCTATACAGTTTGGGAGTGAGATGGTCAGGAGGGGGAAAACTGGGAGAAAATGAGGGATGGGGTGATACTGTTCAAAAAAATATATTTGTTACCTGACTTATGTAACTTTAACCTTTCTGTACATCACTTTATAATAAAATTTAAACAAAAAAAGGAATGAGGGAAGAAAGCAAGTTTGCCTATGGAGTGACATTCTGAAGTAATAGAGAAATGGAGGAAGATTCCAAAGACCCTCTTGATAGCAAGAAATGAAATCACCTCCAAAGACCCTCTTGATAGCAAGAAATGAAATCACCTGTTGACAAGCGTAAGATACAGACTGCTGAGTGGTTTGTGAATTTAGTTTGATCTCCACAATGATTTCCACATAATAATGAATTAATATTATAAGCTAATGTAACAAGTGGAGAAATTGATTGAACTTAGGAGAAATTGCATAATTTGCCCAAGGTCAAAAACCAAGTAAGAAAATTAAAACAACAACAACAACAACAGTAGCAGCATAAAAAAACAAGGAAGAACTGATCTCGAATTGGGTAAAATGAACTGGGGTAGTTGATAGCTTCCTTCATCTATGTCATGAATGTCCCAGGGATTTTCAGAGGCTGGGTAGAATGATTATAAAAAGGGGACTTCCTCCCTTCCTGAGAGAAGAATGCTGACCCTGGATTTTTCAAGTGAGGAGCATCAGCACCAGGTCAAGGAACCAAGGGACTCTCAAGTGATTTCAGGATCAATGTTCAACTGGCTAGAAAAGAAGTCAGAAGGAAGCACTGAATGAGGTCCAGCGTGGTGGATGGTAGCTGTGGAAGTAAGAGAAGGAGAGCATCGCTCTGAGTGCGAATCACCACAGAGACAAGACATAGAGGCACAGATTGGGACCCAAATGGATGACAAGCAGAGCTCCTGTTGGAGGACAAGAGTTGCTTTTACCACAGTGTAGAGAGGGGTTCTGGCTTCCAGTGCTGCTTCTGAGTTCTGTTAGTAGTGACAATCTGAGGGGAAAGGTCCTAGGAGGGCACCAGACAAGGTTATTGGTCCAGCATGAAGTTCTCAGTGGGCAGGGGACAGAAGGTCACTCAATGATTCGTAGCAAGAAAATTCAAGACACGCAAACTCCCTGCCCATTGGCCACCGGAACAGAAGCTGGAGAGTTTCCTGGGGCTGGCTGACAGTGAGGTCCCAAGGCTGGCTCCTGCTTGGAATGGGCGGCTGTGGAAGAATGCTCGGGCAGCTTCCGGCGGCCTCTGCAGCTGCGTGGCCCTCACCCTGACCCCTCAGAGCCAGGCCATTATTTTCTTCTCTCTCTTGTCAGATACCAACTCCCACGCAGGAAAAGGAAGCACCTTTTGTCAGATGCTGTGGCCACTTCCTCTTCGGCAGGCTGCAGCCAATCTTTGTCTTTGCAGAATGTGGGGGCAGGCAGCAGCAGCAGCTGGACGACAAGTGCGTGGGTCTGGGTCCAGCCCTGGTCAGGAGCTGGACCCCAGCTTGGTTTCCTTCCAGGGCCTGTGTGTGTTGGGGGTGGGGGTGATTGTCCTTGATTCAGATCTGGACTCTTAAACTAAACCTGGCTATGACCCTACCCAGCTTCCTCTTTTATCTCCTCACTCACTCTTTGCTTACTGCTTCATGTCCTTCAGTCTGTCTCCCTATCTGTCTCTCTCTGTAGCTCGATCAAGAAGCGTGATGACCGGTGAACATATGGCGGCCTTTCATCCATCATCCACCCCCAACCCGCTGGAGAGACCCATCAAGATGGGCTGGTTGAAGAAGCAGAGATCCATCGTGAAAAACTGGCAGCACAGGTACTTTGTGCTCAAGGCCCAGCAACTCTACTACTACAAAGACGAAGAGGAAGTGAAGCCACAGGTACCAGTTGGGTATTCTTTATTGATAGACTCTCCATCGCTAGGTTTGGCTCAAGGCTGGGCCCAATTAGGCTCTCCAGACCTTCTCTGTAGAGCTAGGCACATCCATTTCTGGGGCGGTCGCTTTTGCTTCTTCACTACTTTTTCCATTTCTGAACTGTAAAGATGACATAGAGGTCAGACAAATACAGTGGACATTCGTAAAAAAATCACTAAGTCAAGGCTTATAATGTGGTGTTGTCATTAGTAGGAGAAAGTGTATTGGGTACTTGATTTGGGGGCTGTTCTATATATATATATATATATATATATATGTAAATAATACTATATATTATGTGTGTGCTATTCATTATGCATAAATATTCATACCAGACACTGCTCTAGGAATTTGAAATAAATATTAGTGAGTAAAATAGGCAAAAATCTCTCTGATAGGAATTGAGAATATGAGGAGAAAGAAAATAAGCATACCATAAGAAAAGTTTGTAGTTTATTAGGGTAAGATTAGTTCTATGAAGTAAAAATAAAGTGGCAAAGGAAGAGAGAGGTTTCTCCATTTTCAATTAATTAATTAATTAATCAAGTAATGCCTTCACTGGGTTCGAATTCTGGGTCTCGAGCTTTTGCTTGTAGTGCTCTTTCAAGTGGTGCTCTATCACTTGACCCACATCTCTACTTCTGGCTTTTTGGTCACTAATCAGAGATAAGAATCTCATGGACTTTTTGCCTTGGCTGGCTTTGAACCACAATCCACAGATTTCAGTATCCTAAATAGCTAGGATTATGGGCATAAACCACCAGCATCTGGTGAGGTTTTGTAATTTTTAGTGAAGTGGTTAGAGTGCCCATGTGAAGAGGGTGACATTTGAGCCAGGACTGACGAGGAAAGGGAGTTAGCCAGATGTATCTCTGGGCCAAGGACATTCCAAACCTGGAGACCATCTGCCCAAAGGCCAAGGGGGAGATGTTGGTTCTCAGGCAGATAGCTTGACGAGAGCATGGTGAGAATGGTAAGGACTGAAAACCAGAGAGGAGGAGGTTAGAGAATGAGGGCAGGAGCCCAGGTTGGGGTGCTGTAGACTCTGGGGAGGACTTAACTAGATAATACCTCAGGAAGGATAGCCGGAGTAGAGAGGTCATGTTTTTTAGCTAATGTTGAAAAAGGGTGATTCTTGTTACTGTGTTCTATTTAAAAAAGTAGGGGGCCTGAATCAGGAGGCATGAAACCATTGAGGTAAGTGGTTATGATGATGTCAAGAATCTCAGTGAGAACTATGGCCTGCAGGCAAACGGTCAGGCTGGGAATGTACTTTGAATATAGAATGAGCAGGCTTTCCTGACGGGGTGGATGAGGCTCAGGGGTGACTGCGGCTGGGAGAATGGGCTTTGATCATGGGTATCCTCCTTATTCCATAAATTCTTCATGGTCACTGCAGTGTGTAAGGTGGGAGGAGGCACTGTTAACAATGACCCTGGGATCCCAGGTGTAAGCTGGGTGTCTCAGGGCAACTATGACAACTGCATACTTACGTGGAGCTTTTGTCTATGCGAGGGTGGGCTTGACCAGAAGGTACTTACAGGAAGGACAAACTCTGGGACCTTCTGGAGCCAGAATAAAACTCAAGAAGGGTGAGGCTAAGACGTGTGGATATTGGGGGTAGATGAGCATGTGAGTGGAGCCAGAATGAACCACTTTGGAAGAATTCTTTAAAGGGAGACCTGAGGATCTGTAACATCAGCGCGACTTGGGCAAACCACACCCTTTGCTTGAGAGTGTATTGAACATCTGACACTGGAGACCTGGAAGGGCCTCAGAGACTCTACCACACACACCTAGTTTACTTTCTGATATACTGTGTGTGGTAACCAGACTTCCTGTCCTCTCTGAATGACCCAGACTTCATCAGAGAGGAGTAAGTTCAGGCTGAGGCTGTGGCTGGGTGTGTTAGGACTGTGTAGGAGGTCTTTTTACCTGTGGAGAGTAAGAGGATAAGCAATAACATTTGAAGGCCAGCCTAGGCTGCATAGTAAGACCTTGTCTCAAAAACCCAAATAAGAAACTTTTAAAAAATGTACTCAGCATGTTTGTATTGTTAAGTTAAAATATGAATTTATAAACTGATTATGATAAGGTTTAACTTTAAGCCTACTACAGCTTTTATGAGTTAAGTAGATTACCTCTATGTGTCTCATATTTTATGTTAGGAAAACAAGATTGTTCAGACTACTTGAAATAATTGTATTAAGTGTTTTCTTGAAGCTAAATGTTTACTCTGTGACTTCTTGAAAGGAGCCACTGTTTTACATGTACTGATTAAAGTAGCTTTTTGTGTGCTCTGTCCTTCTAAAAGGATACCAAACGTACTAACAACAAAGAAAACCTGGAAACAGCCCCTTCTCCACCATAAGAAAAACAAACTAATCATAAAGGCTAAAATAATCTTTTGAAGGTTCCTACTTCTTCCCAGTGTAGGAGGAACAAAGTCAAGGCCTTCTTAGGATTAAATTAGCCCAGAGTAATTAGGTAAAGCTTTGTCTAGGATGATAAGGATGATTTATTCTTAACAAATCTATTAATGTAACACATTAGATCAATAGGTCAAGTGAGAAAAACCACAGACCCCTCAATGAGTGGCTGAAAACAAAAAGCATGTGATAAAATCTTGCCATTCATTTCAGATAAAAACAAACTAAAAATGAAAATTTTAGGAATAAAATGATAATAATCTCTAGAAAGAATAAGCATATTTTTTGGTATGTTAATACCTATATTTTGATTACAAAAGCCATACATGTTCATTGTAGGAATTTTAGAAAATGCAGAAAACTAGAAATAAAAATAAAAATTATTGAGTCTCATCAACAAGAAATAGCCACCTTAATCTACCATCACCTATCCAGAGATATTTAGAAAAAACATTTAGAAAACCATATCATTTACTTAAAAATAACCATACCATAAATATTACTCCTTAATATTGAATATTATTCTACAATGGAATTAACAACAAATAATCTATTGTATGGATGCCCAGTAATTTAATTAACTAATTACTTGCTTTTGGGAATTTGAGCTGATGTTGATATATTATTGTAAACAAATTAAGTACTTGTCCAAATCAATTTCATACAGTCATGGTTCCTTTATTAAGATAAAATGATCTATGTTAATCATAAAATCATGTAACACTTTTTTGAGAATTCCAAGACATTGGTAATATCTAGAAATGAAGAGAAAGAGGCATGAGCTAAATTTTTGGAGCAAAGTAACGATGCATTCCCATGTTATTTCCCTACCATTTGTGATTCTGGTAAATTAATCACTGCAATGTAAAAAACATATTTAAAAAATGTAACTATCTTCATAATCTCTGGGTAGATAGAAACATATTTTTATAAACATCGACAAAGCAAAATGAAATTTCAAATGATGACAGCAAAAGTATGTACTTCATTTTTGGAAAACAAATACTCATAAAATATTTAAAGTGTTTCAAATCCATAAGAAAAATCCAAACAGTTCAGCAGAAAAATAGGAAATGGTATGAGTAGAAAATTATATGTATTCAGTCTCATTAATAATTAATGACATACAGTATAAGCTAATGAGATACCAGTGTTTCCTTATCGAATTTGGATAGCGCCCTTAGACATTTTAGTGAATGGGGGCCAGGAACAGGAATTCCCATGCATCACTTGAGGAAATGAAAATACAACTTTTCTGGTGAACATTATGTCTTTTAAACATAACAAACCCTTTGCCTCCCATTTCTAATTGCAAGAATTTAATCTCATAGGTAGTTTTCTGTCAGTGGTGTGTGCTGCTAAATGTTTTACAACTTATAACAGAATTCTCTGGTGGATGAGTTATGATTTGTGTGCAGTCTTTGGCAATTTCTGTGGTATAAAATATTCCCACTATGATAGATTCAAACTACCAAAGTGACATTACTAAATTCAAGATGTGTAGCAGCAGAATATTATATAGAATTTCTGCTACATGGATAAAACAAAAGTAACCACAATTCTAGAATACCAGAAATACTAGCAAATAATAAGGAAGTGATTTATTACTACTACTACTACTACTACTACTATTATTATTATTGTGGTACTTGGGATTGAACTGAGTTGCATTTGCTAGGCAGTTACACTACCACTTGAGCCACACCTCCAGCATTTGTTATTTTTGAGGTAGGGTCTTGCTCCAGTTAACTAGCATAGTAGGTGAAAGTAGCTATGGACAATGTGAAAGTAGTTATGGACATTTCCTTCCTCATCAGTGTCCTCACCCTCATCCTGACTGGTGCCCCTGTCCCCTAGATTACCTTCCTGTATCCATTTATGACCTCTGAAGGTCTCGTGCTTAGTATGAGGAAAGAGCATCAAATTCGTAATTTATGTCCACGTGAATGAGATGAATTAGAGTTGCTCCTTCTTTCATCAAGTGGGACTTGGAAGTTAACACCTTGTCTGTAATTTGTAATCACATTGACCACAGTTTGAATCATAGCTTTCCTTTGAACTAGCTTGTGATCTTGAGTCAGCTGACAGATGTCTCTAAGCTTTATTTCCTCATCTCTCTATTAGGGAGAATACAAATTCTTACAGATATCTTAAGGAGATAGAGATGTGCTGCAGTATTCAGGGCAATCAGCAGGGAGTCTGGAACTTAATACCTGCTCAATGCATGGAAATTGTGTATTGTATATTTAGTGTTTTATTTTTATTATTTTCTGATGAAATGACTTTGGTGATCAAATGACAGTTTAAAGAGGAAATGAAAGGAAGCAAGTACCTCTGAACTGGACTTTTCTTCCCTCCCTAGCAGCATCCTTTTTTTAAAAATAAAAATAACAGGACCTTCTGGCATCACAAAATAGCTTAGCACCATCCCCAAATGCAAAGATAATGCATCACTTCCATATTATATTTACTGTATATTACTATTATTTATTATTATTTCTGCTGTTGTATTTTCTTTTATCCATGTGGTAAAAATTCTGTATGATGCCATGTTGTTTACATACCTCAACTCTGAGTTTAGTAATATCATTTTGATAGTTTGACTCATATTTATTCTCTAGGTTAATTTTGGTTCACAGATGACAGAGCTACTTGTCTGAAAGGCCTCACTTTTGATCTTTCAGGGCTGCATGTATCTACCAGGAAGTACGATCAAAGAGATTGCCACAAACCCAGAGGAAGCTGGGAAATTTGTCTTTGAAGTTATTCCAGGTAAGTGCCAAAAGATGGGGGCAGAGGTATGCTACACTGCCCTGTTTCATTCAGTGAGTCCTTCCAGCCAACAAACCAACCAATCTGTTAAGAATGGCTCTGCAGACAGCTCACAAGCCTATGCTAGTTGATTAGGTAGTATCAGGGTTGGCATAAAGCCCATAAACAAAATGAGTGCTCATTCATTCAGTTCTATTGAGTATTCTGTAATGACATGCTTGGAGCCAGGTACTACACTGGGACACTGATGTGAAAAGACATCATCCCGACTCACTTGGAGGAGCTCAGAACCAAGCAGACCAATCACAGGATATAAATTGTACTGTGGAACTTTGCTTTGAGTTTGTGGAGGATGGTGGGAAGTTAGCAATCTCATACTGGGTACAACAGGACCTAATGAGAAAGGAGAGATGGACTTGTTGTATTTATTGAGTACGTGACCTGTGTGTGTTACCTTCTTCCAAGAATTGGCTGTGCTCCTGAATCTTCCATACTGGCCACTTTACTCTGTCTCTTGCTTAGACGCAAGCCCTAGCCCCTCCAGAAACTGCCAGGCTGTTGATTTGGCTGTGTTGTCTTGAAGCTATATCCCATGTTACAACAGAGAGGGTAACAAGTGTCCTTGGGGCCTTTTTCCTTTAGCATCTTCACATAACTGAAATCTAGTGGAGATTGGCAACAAAGCAAGCACATGAATAGATTGTGTGGCTTTCTGATGGGATAAATACTATGGGAAAGAATTAAATTGAAGAGAATGTCTTGGCTGAGATGGGGATGGTGGCAATTGCTTTGTCTATTATAAACAAACTGGAAGAACACACTACATTGAGAAACTAGCATCTAGGAAAATGCCTGAAAGTCCTGAAGGAGTGAACTAACTGCACATGAGAAGGAACAGCATCCCAGGGAAGGGGATGGGCCAGGGCTCAGTCCCTGGAGCCTGGTTTGCATGTTCAACGAATGCTAAGGAGTCCAGGGTGGTTAGACTGGAGTGGTGCTGAGAGTGGGGATTTTGCTAAGATGTGGACAAATACAATTACAAGGTACTTGGTTCTTGTGTTGAGAATAGAAAGCCACTGGGGGACTCTAAGCATGATAGGACTCAAAGTTGTATAATTCTGTTGAATTGACAGTAAAGCATGGGGGCAAGGACAGTGAAGGGAAACCAATGAAGAGACTTTTGCAAAAGTTCAAGTTGAAGACAGTGTTTTTTTTAATAGGGTTGTTTCTGACAGAACGAAAGGATGTCCTAGGAAGTGTAAACTGAAAAGGCAATGTTTTGACAAAGTAGTAGACTGGAACGCACCTATGGTAGGGAAGAATAACATATGAATTATATTCAAGGTCAAATTTGGAAGCAATATGGGCTACTGGAGTCTCTACCGGGAGGAATGAAACCTTGCTTTGAACTTACAATAACTTTCTGGGTACCAACGGGCAGGTGGCTTTGCATGTCTGGGCTTCAGTTTTATGATCTGTAAGATGGGGATATTATGTCTCTGTGCTATTTCAAAGGGATCTTATGGTTCCTGCAGCATTTTTATTAGTAGTGCCCTAAGCAGTTCTTGGATTCCCATTTTACTTTTAGCTCTCAGGATTTTCCTGAGCGGACAGGGATCCCATGGGCTGACCCCTCTGGTCAGAATTGCTGAGGATCCAATGACAAGATAAATTGAGACTCATTTTCTCAAAGTTTTAAAGAAGGTGAGGTTCAGTCACACTACAGGTCAGTCCAAGAGACTGGAACCAAAAGGAGCCAGAGAGGTCTTATTCCCTAAATCCCATGTTTGACCCTATATGGTAGCTCAAATGGCTTATTCCTGAGCATATGGGAAGAATGGGTTGAAAGTCATTTTGCAATGCAGTGACCTCTTATCATTAAAAGAGATTGTTTTCCTGACCCTCCTCAGGCCTCCTTGTGTTTTTACCAACCTCAAATGATTTCAACTTTATAGGCTTCCACTTGGAAGGAGGCCTATGAAAGACAATGTTCTAGTCACAGATCCATTACTAGATGGCCTATAATTGACATTCTTCCTTTCCCTATTTTCCATTTTGGGTCACCTTTCTGCATTCTTTTGGTCTCTGCTGCTTTGCTATTTTCTTCATCCTTTTGTCCATTTGAGAAAATGGATACCCAGGGAATACTGCATAGATCTCTACCATAGTTTTAAAGGGAAGATGCTAAACAAAGTCCTACCAAGCTTTATGTGTCCATTAACTAGATATTGATAGCCTATTGTTTTCTAGGTCTTTCATCACCAAGAGAATGATGATCTGAACAAGAAGCAATAATTTTGTGAGAAAGGCATACCTTTGCTCATTGCCCTTTCCACCTGAGGCTGCTGTCTCTCTCCAAGTCCCTACAGTTGAGTTTAAGGCTAACTTAGAAAGTATGTTCTTGTCTGGGTGCTAGTAGTTCATGCCTATAATCTTAACTACTTAGGATGCTAAGACTTGAGGATCACTGCTCAATGCCAGCTCTGGCAGACAAATCCCAGAGTCTCTCTCTCTCTCTTTTTCATTTTTGGTTGGTTGTGGGGCTTGAACTCAGGACCTGGGCACTATCCCTCAGCTCTTCAGCTCAAGGCTAGTGCTCTACCACTATGAGCCACATGCCACTTCCAGTTTTCTGGTGGTTAATTGGAGAGAAGAGTCTCGTGGATTTTCCTTCCCAGGCTGGCTTCAAACTATAATCCTGAGATCTCAGCTTCTTGAGTAGCTAGGATTACAGACGTGAGCTACTAGACCCTTGAGCCTCTTATCTCTAATCAACAAAAAGCTGAGGTGTAGTTTGAGTATTAGAGTACTGGGCTTGAGCAGAAAATGTCAAGCCAGAGTGCAAGGACTTGAGTTCAAACCCTGGTAAAAATACTCCCCAAAAAACAAAAAAGGAAGTGCCCATGGTGGGCATGATGGCCCAAAATCACTTGCATGGGCTGATCCCATTTCTGCTAATGCTGAACTTGACACTGTGTACTTTTTCTTCCTTTGGGTAAGAAATGGCTTCTGTCCCATGTGGAAGTAGCTTGCAGTCAAAACCATCTCAAGTGCAAACCACTGTATTCAGTGATTGGTATATAGAATGAGTGCTTTGATTAAAAAAAACCATAAGGACGTAGAGATTCAGATCTACTGAGGACAGTTAGCTAATGAATACACTATTGACTGGTAAGGCTTCATTGACCCAAGACAATAATTGAGTTCAGCCTCCCTTCCATTCCCCTTGCCTGAGTCTCCTGCCATTTTAAGGCCTTCACATTTGCTACTCTTTCCTGCAGCCTCATGGGACCAAAATCGTTTGGGACAGGACTCTTATGTCCTCATGGCCAGCTCCCAGACAGAGATGGAGGAGTGGGTTAAATTCCTGAGGAGAGTTGCTGGTATGCCTTCTGGAGGTAAGGACCTCTTTAGGCCTTTCTGGGCAGGTTGTAACATCTGGGGAGGAGGAGGGAGTTCTGGACATGATCTCTCCCTGAACGTGCTCGAGGGACAAATTAATAATGATCTTGGAACCATAGTCATGACCAAGACCTCTGCTGATTATGGAGAAAAGGGTTCAGAGCTTCTAGCTTTCCTTATGGGCCATCTCAGAAAGCCAATTCCAAATCTAAAGGCTAGATGGCAAGCCCTTTGCCCTTGTTAGCGAAGGTGTCAGCCAAAGCTGACCCTTGGCTTCCTGGCAGTGCTTACACAGCACTTTGGGTTAGCCCTACCATGGGGCTTTTGGGGGCTGAGAGGGTGGATAGCAAAGCTGTAACTTATGCCATTCAGCACAGGAAATATCAGAATGCTCTCCAGAGGATGAGGTGAGGCCAGAGAAGCCTTACAGGCGTGCAGAGAATTGTGCATTGAACACTTGCCTGGGCTACATACCTTAAATGTTCGAAATACTGGGAGGGAGTTTCAATAGTTCCACACAAGGTCCTGGTTGCAGGGGAGAAAAAAACAAAACACCTAAGCAACAACGAAGACAACAAAGCCGGGTGTTAAAAAAAAATCCCTGGGCTGGGTGCTGGTGGCTCACACCTGTAATCCTAGCTACTCAGGAGCCTGATATCTGAGGATCAGAGCCAGCCTGGGCAGGAAAGTCCCTGAGACACTTCAATTAACCACCAGAAAACCAGAAGTGGCACTGTGGCTTAAGTGGTAGAGTGCTCGCCTTGAGCTGAAGAGCTCAGGGTCAGCACCCAGGCCCAAAGTTCAAGCCCCATGACCGGAAAAAAAAAAAAAAGAGAAAAAAGAAAAAAAATCAACACACTCATGAGTCTAGTAAGTTTTCCCTTCATACATACATGAAATAAGTGTTATGTATGAGCCTACCATGAGCCTACACCATTTTCTATCTTTTTTAGGGACACTTTGCCTTGCATCAACTCCAGGATAACTATATAAATACATAATTATTTATTGACTTTTCAGCCTTTTATTTTAGAAGTCATTTGTGGAAGCTTTCGTGGCTTAAATATTAAATATTGATTTGGTCTCCCAACAATTTCTTTCCAAAATTATATGAATACCACAATAATTTTATGGAAATTTGAAAAAGCCCGTAAGCCATTAGAGCTATTTTTATGCTTTTTTTTTCTAGCCAGGGTTCCTATATACATGTATTTTCCAGAATGATGAGCAGAATATATGCAATTTGTATTTTATAACTTTTAAGAATTTATAACTAAGAATTTCTCCATATTGCGATAGAATTTTAACTGATACAAACAAGAGATTATTTAGTTATAAGGGTTAGAAATAATATCCAAAGATCTTAAAGGAACAGAAAGGTAGATTCAGTGCTAATGAGGCCAGGTATGGTGGTGCACTTGTAATCCCAGCAACCCAGGTGGCACAGGCAGGAGAATTACAGCCCAAGGTCAATCAGGACAAATGTGCAAGACTATTTGGGGAGCAAGACTATTTGGGGCACAAACTAAAAGCAAAATGTCTGAAACTCACAAATTTGAGGCCCTGAGTTCAAATCTCAGTACTTATCATAGAAGGCAAATAAATAAAGAAAAAAAGAAAGCTAAAAGAGAGGAGAGAAGGCAAGACTTTGGAACTCACCAGGGACAGGAGCTGAACAGTGGAGCAGGGAGTTGGAGCTTTTCTTGTTGATTTCTCTGGGGCCAGTTTCTCATTCTGCGTTTCTCTGCATACCTGCCTGTTTTCATCTTGTCAGCAGCCCCCATCCTGCCTGCACTTGTTCCTTACATTGTTGTGCCAACCCCAACATCTCCCACAGGCATCAGCTACATTGGCAGCCTCATTCCAAACTCCTGGGAAAGAAACTCCCTCACTCAGCTGAGGTTGGTCCCTCTGGATACTCAGAGGCCAGGCAGCTGTAGCTTGGGAACCATCCATGAGGACTTCTAAAGTGACCTGAGAGGGACTGCTACCGCCTTCTGTGACATCTGTACTGTAGTCCAGAAAGAGTTACATAGTTACATTAAACATCTTACAAGTTCCAAACACACATTTTACTGTGCTCAGTGGGCCACTTGAAGTTCTATTTTTAATCTATTAAGGCCTAGTTCCATGTTCTTTTAAAGCTGGATAATCTTATCTGTGACCTTCTGTATTGACCTGGACTTAGAGACTGAAGCTGTTGATGCTTCCTGCTCTCCTCAGCTCTAGGCTGTCTGACTAAGAGCAGGGGATAGGGCTTACCTATGCACCTGCTCAGGGTCTCAATATTGGCAATGTACTTTCAGTAGGATCTGAGCCTTCTGCAAGGCCTGGCTGGACCTTGCCTTGGTGGGCTGCATCCTGTCCTGGTACAGGGGGAATATTTCCCTCACCCCATCTCCAGGCTACTACCCTGAGAAGCAAAATAAGCCTAAGTCCTTTTAGGTAGTGCAGAGTCCAGGGAAGGGAAGTTCATTCAGCAGTGTTGGCTCTCGTGTAGCATGCTGGGTGTTAAAGTTACTCAATGAAAAAAAAAAAAAAATAAAGTTACTCAATGAAACAAAATCGTAGATTCAGAATAACAAGATGTTTTGACCCAGTAGAGCCCCATTGAATCAGATATTTGCCCTTCCTGTTTGTAAGTCAGGGAATTCTAGTTCTGAGGGAAAAGTGGGTGGCTGTCTGAGGAGGTTGGCTGATGATCAGGGCTGGGGCTCCTTTCCACAACACCATTCTTATTACCTCGGGATCAACAGAATGCACCCCCTAAATATTATAAAGTTACTGTTACACGTTGTTGCTGCCTATTTCTGGAACTTTATGCGCCTTTAGGAAATGTTTCCTACCCAGAAGCTGCCCACTTCTCACTACCTTAGAGACAAAATATTTTCTTGACCAAATTACAGCATTCACCTGCAGACACTTCCAGGCTTTCACCTCTGGTTCTTATACTCTGTTCACTCGGCCAGGGTGAGCTTGTTAAACCCTTCACTGCTCAACTCTTTCCACTTCCAAATTGTTTCATTTTTTCACTCTTAAGTAAAAATCAAGGGCCTTATTCTAACGTATAATGCATAATCACTCTCATCCATAAGTCTCTATCCTTTTTTCTAGAATCTTCTTCCATGTTCATTTCACTCCAGCACCACCAGCTTCCTTAGTGCTCTAGACTTGCTCCTATACAGGGCCCTGGCACCTGTTTCCTCTGCCCAGTGTCCTCTTGTCCCATCTGGCTGCATGGTTTGGTCCCATGTTTTTCTTAGTGATTGGATCTCTAAGCCTTTTTCTGATGATTCTATTTAACTCTATCCCCTTCTCTCCCTACCTCAGTCCTTGTTACCCTTATTCCTTTTCTTCCCAACACACATTCTCTTCTAACATGCTAAATAATTTAGTCATGTTTGGTTCAGTTAGTCTCTTCTCCCAGGCATGAAGGTTTCTACCTGTTTGGAAGAAATTGACTGTTTTAGTCAGCATTGCATCTCAGAATGCAAAGAGTACCTGCATTACAGACACAACAAATCCTATTCAATAAAGAGTTGAAGGAATGCCCCTTGTCCACAGCTATATCATATTCTACTTCCCCGGGCACTCAGCTCAGCTCACTAGACAATGGATTCTGTAAATGAGTTGCTCCTTCTAGAATTATCTTCTTGCAAGCAGTGGTGAGCTTTGGTGAAGCTCTTGATGGGTTGAAAACCTCTTTAGAAGGTCTCATAAAAAGCTAGATGTGGTGCCACATGCCTCTCATCCCTGCTACTTTGGAGGCCGAGAGAAGATCACTATAATTCTAGGGTACCCCAGGCAAAAGCTTGAGATCCTGTCTGTAAAATAAATTACAAAACAAAATGACTTGAAATATGGGGCTCATATTAAACCCAGAGAAGCTCTGGGTTCAATTCACAGTATGGCCAAAAAAATCTGATAGACGCCTTGGAAGCTCTCTAGATCTGATATCTAGACACAAGCAATTGATATTTCCAGGCATCTATAGTTCATCTGTATACCTTAGGTTAGTCAGTACCAGTGTTAAAATTATAAATGCTTCCTTGGCAACCATTCTGCAGAACTGATGTCTCTTCCTGCCCTCAACCACCTTTTGGCTCCTTTCATCCTTGACTGGAAAGATGACTGCAGGGTCTCCATGGCTCTCCCAGTTTCTTTTGATTGCCATCCTCCTGCCCCATAGCTGATTCTGGATATTCTCCATACCTTGGTGTGCATCACCTTGGTGTTTGACCAACTTCTCAGCAACCTAGCTTTTCACAGTCCTGTAAGCCCCTTCCCAAGAGGCTTGGATAAGAAAGTTAGACTGTCTCTTCCCTAGAAATTCAGGATGTGGCTCCTTGTTTTCTCAAGTAGGAGGAAGGGAACAGAGGCTTTCTTGGTCCATGTCTCATAACTGCTCCGTGCTGGCTCCTGCTCATTTTTTTCTGAACCGTGGGATCTGAACTTTCTCTTGTCTAGTCTCCTCTTAGACTGAAAGCTGGTTTCTATCCCACTTCTTGAAGGGAGTCCACATTGCTTTTCATTCTTCCTCCAGTGACTTCCATCTGATATTTCCTCAGGCCATTTCTGAGGATGTTCACAGTACATTAGATTGTTCATATCTTTGCTCTGCTTCTGGCAGTTTTAAGGTCCTGGGGGTAGTATTTTAAGACTGTGTTTGGCAATACACATAGAGCATGTAGGTATTGAGTTATTCTGTACCTGGAGTGTCTCCTCTTCCCCGAATTCTTGGAAATTGTTTGCACGCTTGTGTGTGTGATTTCATAGGCCTCCGTGAGTTCAGCATGCGAGTTGTTTTGTCTGCAAGATCCAATTGTGTTTTAACAGGGATGATTTTTAAACTTATTTCCACTATTCTTTCCTGTTTCCAATGCCCTTCAGCTAATAACACAGGGAAGATATTTATTCATTTAGCCAACAAGTATTTCTTGAATATATGTTACTTGCCAAGCCCTACACCCAGCCTGGGAGGCAAACCAGAAACAGT